TCAAGGCGTGAAATTAAAGCTGGTCACAGTTGAGCGCGCGCTGCAGGGGCTATCGACAGCCCTTACGGCGTGTGAAGGCCTCTCACCGCTCGCAACACCCAGTCCATTTACGGCGTGTGAAGGCCTCTCACCGCTCGCAGCAGTCAGTCCGCTCGGAGACGGCCGGCGATGAGAGGCCTCTCCTCGGCCAAGGAGAGGTCAGCACCGTCACCGGCCGAGCCGCCGCATCACCCGCGTCGCCGTCCGGCCGGCAGCGCGACGCCTCTCCTCGGCCTGGCCGGCACCGTCACCGGCCGAGCCGCCGCGTCACCCGCGTCGCCGTCCGGCCGGCAGTCGTGACGGCCGCCAACGGCCGTGACGAAGCCCGCGGCCGGGCAGATTCTGAGGACGATAGTGCGGTAAATCGGCGCTGCCTCGAGCGCCGGCCGTGACTGTTCGGAGAGCTGCTGCCCCCCCCCCCCCCTCTCAGCCGAGCCGCCCGCGCTCCGCAGATGGCCACTGTGAGCTGTACGTGACAGAAGGCCAGTCGGCGAGCGGCCAACTGGACAGCCCGGCTCGCCAGCAAGCAACAACTTTTTGCTCTATGGCCTGGGTGTACCAGGTGAAGCCAAGGAAACAGCGAATAGTTTGAAGTTGCTGCAAGCGCAATTGTTTCACCGGCGGTGAAACCATTGCGTTCCTCCTTCCAAAACTCCCGTTCGGCGGTGTTCACCGCCCGACCATAACTTAGAAACTGTTTCGAACACAACTGACCTATTTGACGGCCGACAAGAAGCATCTTGCATTGCGAGGTTCCTATGAAAATACTTAATCGCGTTGTAATATGCCTAGTCGCTAACTGTACAATTATAATAAGCATCACAGGAACGGTAAATTAGTTATATGCTTCGGAAGTTGTGAGTGCTCACCAAGGAAGTGGGTCTGTGGGTCTGTAATTCATTGAGGATAAGCTGGAGGAGAGCATAACTGAACAGCGTCCATAGGCTCGCTGTACCCTTTGGCTGTTTCAAAACTTACGATTGCCGGCATTTTCAATGCATGCCTAGCTAGGTAAAGCCGCGTAACCTATTTGGACCTCCGGAGCACTCACTGTTTTTTTTAAACACTTCAAAGCAAATAATTCGCTTTCCTATAAAAACGACAGTATTACTTCTAGAATTCATAATTTGCGTTCCAAGTTCTGCCTCCATGGCCCACTTTGGACAGATTTGACAGACGGCGAAGATCGTAGCCTTCAGTTCCCGGTTGGCACTACACGCGTCTAAATGCTTTGAGCAGGGCGGCTAAACGCACCGACCTATTGCGTCTAAAAACAGATTCAGTTTCGTGAATCCTCAAGAATGGCTTGGTAGCCAACCTTCAAGTACTGTATATACATCTCTATAATTCGCAATCGCTTTCCTGTACTCCACAATCGCTTCCTCTGGTTATTCCTATACGGGGGAGGAAGGATTCATATATACATATCTATAATTCGCAATCACTTTCCTTTACTCCACAATCGCTTCCTTTGGTTATTCATACACGAGGGAGGTAACAGGCCGAGCGGGTGCTTCTTAAACTTTGAGGATACGTTCAACTTGAGAGGCCCAGCAGGCCCCACCCTTCCAGGCTCAGCAGTCGTGTCATCTAATAGCTAACATATTTGCGGCCATCATGTGTTCATGTAGTTTTTCTGCGGCGTGAGCATAGTTGTGGCGTAGCAAAGCTCGGTTCCGCTGTCTTTGGCTCTCGATGCAGATATATCTGACCAAAATGTCTGCTTTAGACCCGCACAACTGCCCCCACTCGGCCCTGCCCAAACTCAAATCCAAACTCGAACTTCGAACTGTCGTCCCCGGCGGGAGGAGCCGGCAGTCTCCGTTCATCGGGGTACTCTCGAGCGGGCCTGTGCTAAGCGGGTCCGACCGTCTCGCGAGCGCCGTCCCCGGCGGGAGAAGCCGGCAGTCTCCGTTCATCGGGGTACTCTCGGGCGGGCCGGTGCTAAACGGGCCCAACCGCCTCGCGCGCGCCGTCCCCGGCGGGAGGGCCCGGCAGTCTCCGTTCATCGGGGTACTCTCGGGCGGGCCGGTGCTAAGCGGGCCCAACTGTCTCGCGCGCGCCGACGCCGGCGAGAGAAGCCGGCAGTCTCCGTTCATCGGGGTACTCTCGGGCGGACCGGTGCTAAACGGGCCCAACCGTCTCGCGCGCGCCGTCCCCGGCGGGAGGGGCCGGCAGTCTCCGTTCATCGGGGTACTCTCGGGCGGACCGGTGCTAAGCGGTCCCAACTGTCTCGCGCGCGCCGACGCCGGCGAGAGAAGCCGGCAGTCTCCGTTCATCGGGGTACTCTCGGGCGGGCCGGTGCTAAGCGGGTCCGACCATCTCGCGCGCGCCGTCACCGGCGAGAGAAGCCGGCAGTCTCCGTTCATCGGGGTACTCTCGGGCGGGCCGGTGCTAAGCGGGTCCGACCGTCTCGCGCGCGCCGTCACCGTCCCCCCCCCCCCCCCCCACCAACGCGCCTCCAGACCCGGGGTGACCCCATCCAGGTCACACACGTCGCAAGCGGGTACAACCGGTCAACTCATGCCACACGTATGTGGGAGCCGATGAAAGCCTGTGCACAGATGCAGTGAGAGAAGGCGCTTGCCGGGTTTGCATCGGAATAAAAAGGCTCCTGAACTCCTGGACTCCTGGACGTCTGAGGTTTCCTGAGGCAACGATTGTTGTAAATCAAGCATCCGCTCCACGGAGGAAATTTACAGTTCACGGGCACCAGACAGCCAGCCACGGCTCGGACCGAGCGTCAGCCGACACCGCCGACGGCTGACAGAGCAGCCTTTGTCCAGAGCTGCCGGACGACACCGCTCTCATCGACCTCCTTCGGACGTCGGTGCGTGCCGTCGCTCAGATCACAGGCTACATGAGCCCTGCACCGACCTCAAGTCTAAAATAAGACGCGATTTCGTTGCGAAGCGCCGCGATGTCGCCTCCTCCTCCGCTTTTGATTAGCGTTGAAATGGTACAATTTTCAACCCGCAGAAACGCAAAAAAAACACGAGTGGATATCGATTCCAGATCTGTTCAGATACAGATTCACGCGGCACTGCCGTCGACGCGACACGAAACTTACGTAACGGATATGACAACGGACAACACTATCCGAAGACCGACGAAAAATGTGCGTCAGTGTGTGCAGACCATCATGCGTTTTCGTGTGAAAAAACCGCACATGTAAACCGTCCGTTACATGTAAACCGTCGAGACAGACTGACGTTACATCTCAGCAATTGGAGAAGCTCAGTCAGGTGAGCAAGCTAAGCGCATGGTGTCGGCGAATGTACCGGACACACCCCACCAACAGGTCTCAAAGCTGTGCACCGATAATGCTCCAGCGGTTCACCATAAACGGTCGATGCCACGTTTTCTGAAGCCGATGCATGATGACGCACACGAACGCATCAGCGACCACCCTCCGTTCCAAGTGGATAAATCGCCCAAAACAAAAGCGCGACAAGCCAGACCGCCACAGGCTGTGCCCAACACCTGGGTCCGTGAGCCTGACGCAGTCCAGACGCGCTGGCGACCTCTCCCTCTTCTTGGCTGGGACTCTGCCCGCAGCAGCCGACTGTGAGCGGAAATACCTGCTTCCGAGCCATTCTCGCGCGGGACGAACCTGTCCCGAGGGAATACCGCGCTGCTGCGGGCAATAACTGCCACAATTCTGCTGCTGTAGTGTGTTTCAAGCATCTTGATCGCTTGCGTACCAATTCGATATGCTCCAAACAAACGACTACCGTCGTTGGTCTCTGCCAAGCGCGCGCTTTTTATGCCTAAATGGATTCAAACCGATCTTCATGGAAGGGAAGTAAACTGATGTAGTTTGGTAAGCCCACGGGCACCTGTATGTGAATAATGAACGGGTTGGTTTGGGAATATATACTGGGAAAATTACGGATATGGATGCGTGTATGGGAAGCATTTATACAACATTGTTAAAATGCTTCAAAAGATGTTTCACGATGATGCCGTTCTCGTTTATTTTAGTCATAACTAGCTCCATCCACGCTACTTCTGTAAATAGCAACACAAAATGGTCTGTTTGGGTGTAAACTGTCCTTAAACTATTCCAAAATTTGGAGCCAAAATGCCCCCCCCCCCAAAAAAAAACCCGAACCGGTGATATAAGAAGTAGTTTATGCGGTGAAAGAAGGGGGACATAAATAATTATGTGTTCATTTTGTTAGCTAGTGGTAACAAAGCTGGTGGTAACAAAGTTGATGGCGGTGATCAGGTGAGCCTGAAGAACAACAGCTGCTACCTATCAAACTTATTACTACCCAAAGGTCATCTTCATAAATTGAAGTCTGGAGAAAAAAATATGTTATGTGCTCCCTCCCCATTTCGAGCTGGGTGGGCCCCCCATAGGGATTTCTTAAAAACCTTTTGTGGGACGCCAGCGAACATTGCGCAAACCCATGCCACATTTCCTGTCGAAGCATAACAGATCAAAACACAGACAAACTCGAAACTAAAGTTACGGACAAAAAACGTTTTGTTGGAGGTTTGGATTAATGGCCGAGAAATTCAGAGGGTATGCTGTTTCATCTCCCTGCTCTGCCTGTACATGTTGGTTTATATTTTTCTTCCCAAAGACAACTTACCGTGCGTTCTTTTTACATCAAAAAATGTGTTGTGAGTGCTCCAAAGGTAAAAGATAGGTCACGTGATGTTATGTTGCCAGCTAATGATTTAAAAATTCACATAAGCAAATGATTTCAAATGGCCGAAAGATGCAGTGAATCATTGCGAGTCTAATACTGTTTGTACACCGTTTGGGTTATTCCTCACTGAGTCCTACAAAGAGACCTGCAAAGACGCCCTTACTTGGTGACCACTCAAAATGTCCGATGCCTTGCCTCCTTGGCCGTTGCTGCAGTCTGTTCAAAGATTTACTTGTTAAATTCTGGCATCAGAAATTCCTCAAAAGTATTTTCATCAACATATGAAATGTAGGAAGCTAGCCATTGTCAATTATCATGGGTTACCTAGCTGCTTTATTTATCAGCCACACGCAAAGCACCGCCATATGTACACACTCTTCAGTCAGAAACTTTGAACTACCCTTACCTTTGGTTTAAGCCAAGCTTAACGAAAACTTCACCGCCTCACACCGAGGAGAGGCTATCCTCGTCCCCGCTGGTGGCCACGGAGGGTGGAGGGGTGAACGGACTCCGCGACCTCCGCCCCTCCTCCCTATCCGAGTCCGAATCGGTCGGCGACGGCTGATCACTCGAACTCCAGCTTAGAAACTGGAAATAGGAAACAGCATGACGTCAGAGAAACTGATGCTCAACAGCATCAACCGCACAGAAGCAGGTGAAGTTAGCAAGTAGGCATTGCTACTGTTGCAAGTCTCGTGCGGGAATAAATGGGGCAATGGACCGTGCAATTTATAGAACCATACTTCGTGGCGCACCAATACCGTTAAAAGCAGCACTGAGCCAGCATCATGCCGTACTAGCATTGCTCATTCAGCTGTAGGCAATGCTAGCAGTCCAGAGACCAGATTTTAGACACAGGGTCACGTAAGAAATTGTCGTTTTTAATCGCAACACATAATTTTGTCCCTCCGCTCCCAGCGGCCCCGCTGTTACATAGCTTTGGCAGAGGTCTCCGCTGGTGCAACCCTCCCAGCTTTGTTTAAGAAATCAACTGCAGTGCTTTGCAAGGATGGGTTTTGTGTTCAGAACACCCAAATAACTAGCTACAATAACTGAGTCATAAGCACAACTAGTAACAGAGCTTAGATAACTAAAGATAACTTTCTTCGCATTTCCAACTAAATGTACATATTAATAATTCACCTATTGAGGACAAAAAAGAGATTAAATACCTTGGTGCAATCATTGACAAATCTCTTAAATTTACAAGCCACACTAATGGTGCTGCAAGCACAGTAAGTAGAAATATTGGAATAATAAGTAGGGTTATGTACTTAATTGATAAAACAACGTCACATCTAATCTATCACACTTTGATTCTACCTTATTTAAATTACTGCTGCTTGATTTGGGGTATAAATTATGCTTCTCAACTAGTTCGGTTAGTAATTTTGCAAAAAAGGGCTGTGCGTCTTATAGAAAATGTGTATCCTCCACAAGGCTCAGAGCCGATCTTTAAACGATACAAAATTTTGAAACTATCGGACATTGCTAAATCCCAAATGCAACTGGTGATGCACAAAATTTAAACTTCACAGCTCCCTGCATCATTCGATTTAATTTACAATCTCTACGAATCCAATGACATGGATATGAGGCGAGCAAAACATTTAGATCAACCTTTCTCTAATCGTAATTATAGACTATTTACAGCATCTTGCCTTGGCCCTAAGCTGTGGAACGACATTATGGTTTCATACTTTCCAAGAATAGCTGATATCCCCGCATCAAAATCCATCGTTAAGAACATCATCCGGAAGCATTTCGTGAATACATATTACTGTAACGAACATATATGAAGACATTGCAATCCTTTGTGCTGTACATATCCAACGCATTTCATATTTGACCTCCTTCATGTTTCATAATAAATTTATGATATAAAGTCATGCACATATACCCAAATTCACGGCGCTGGCTCCGGGAGTTCTCCCAGCAACAAGCTTTGCTTAGCTAGGTGGACTCCCTGGACATCCAGCTCAAAACCCAGCACAAAAATGACCAGGTAATTGCCCCCTCCGACTTGTGCGACCGTATAGCCCTTACTAACACGGTGAATTGAGTGGTTGTAGATTATTGGGCTGTTATAGCGGGCTGTCATTAGCTGACTTTGGCTGATGACTTCTTTAAGCCTTCTCATCTATGATTTTTCCCTACCTATCACATAACACAATTCCTTCGGGTCTGCTCCACCTCTTCGCCTGCTTTTTTACGTTTGTTTCATCTTCCCAGCTGGGAGTGCCGCGACTTGATTTTATGTTTTCTGGTGTTAACGTACGGTTTACTGCGTCACTGAGATTGAGGGAGGGGCACTCCTGGTTACCTGTTCTTGGGTAACGGCGTAGAAAAAAAGCTTGACATTCTTTGAGCACACCATCCCTACTATCCCTGAGCCAAACACTCGAAGCAAACCGATCCATTTCAGCGAAAATATTGTATGCGTTCTATGTAGGTCTTCCCAGACATGGGTACAAGGTTTTGTGTGTCGTAAAGCACCTCGACGCAGCCGTCCGGACCACGCTGAACCGGTTTGGTCTGTTGCCACCATGTCTTTCATCGTCAGCTGGGCAAAACGTTCAACTGCCCCAGGATTCTTACGCAGTATCTCTGGAATCCGAGCCCAGCAACCTACCGCCAAGCCACGGGATCACGGCGACTCGGCGCATCATACAGCAAACAGTGGGCCACTGCTGCTATTCCAGATTTAAAAGGCATTGAAGTGAATATGACAACATTGAGGCGGTCCATAGCTCTTTCCAGATCAAAGCAATGTGTCGTGCGCAGACTCAGTTTTAATTATTAAATCCAGGTAGGGCCTAATCCGCCAGGAATGTTGGCATACTTTGTATATATCGTGATTGGTAGAAAACCTCTGTCCGCCGGCGGCCGCAAGCATTAGCAGTCGACTCTTTCTAAGGATGCAATAGGTGATTTTGATTAAGTGTCTCCCGATTGAGGCGCTGACTGTAGGCAGGAGCTCTTTACATAAAATGAGCTGGGGGACAGTGAAAAATAACGAATTTTACCGAAAAATATAACAATATAGCTTATGCCCGGATGCCACCCACTTTTTTGTGCCCAAAATCCAGCAAAAGCCATTATTCAGTATAAAATCAAGTTGTGTTTATGAAACAACAGCCGGAGCCAGGAACCAGCGTCCGTTGTTTGTAAAAGCCTATGGAAACCAGGAACTAGGTGTTCGTGCTAACAGAAGGTGGAGTGAGAGCCAGGAAACTGTCTCCGCTTCTTTCCATAAAAAAGAATCCAGGAACCGAAAACTTATGCTTACCAAATGACCGGTGGATTCAGTGTCAAGTTTTCATAAAGGGCGGGGTGGGAATCAGGGAACAACATTGAGAAGCAGGCACACGACCGTCTGACAATTTTGCGATGTCCGCAACAAAACGCCACTGACCGAAACGGTGTCTCCATCCTGCTCACAGCATAGAGCCGGACACCCAGTCCCCTCACCACGCGAGCGCATTACAAACCCAACCAGCGTGATCACAGATGTACTAGCCGACACAGACACCGAACCAGACCAATTGTCCTACGTCAGCGGATGTAATTCGGACCGACAGACCCGGGAGTCGCCGTGTCGTTTAGGTTAGCTGCTCTGGCACTGAGAGCGCCCGCGTCAACAAGATGTGCGGTTGGCGTACTCTAAGGAGAAATAAATAGTCAGCGGGGGTTCGCTGAGACAGGAGCCGGCCACCCAGACGCGTGACATCATGCCGACCGTGTTGGGGCAGCCAGACGCCGTGAACGCATCCGCCCGGTGATGTCATCGATTTCGGCCGCACTCCGCAGGTTCCGCAGAAAACACAGGGAATATGCACAACCTGCATTAAATGCAACCACAAGATAGCTCAAGTGCCGAAGGTCAGCTCAAGGTCACTCACCGATCGCCTGAGGGGGAAGTCCCGTCCAATGCGTGGTGTGCCCGGCGGCCGCTTCCTCAGCACGAAGCTGTAGTCGTTGCTGGAGGCCCACTCTTGCTGTATGAGCAGCGGACGGTCGTCCGGATGCAGCTTGCGCTCGAAGGCGACAGGCGCACAAACCTGAAAGATACCAAGCACACCTCACCTTTGCATGATACCTTCAAAAGAGGCGATGCTTTCACCGGCCCAATCCGCTAAGGAAATATGCAGCGCTCCGACGAAATGTCGCCACCGCTGTCGTTACATAGAAACGTCAGTGGTTATGATGCTAATGATGCCATCGGTAAACAGCCATCTATTAGCTCTCATAAGGACGGCTGTAGACTAAACCAACGAACCGTTTGTGTACTATACACATACACACTGTGTACCTCGTAAATGCTGAAGACGTTGACGCCCTCGGAGGAGTTGTAGCAGTTAAGCAGCAGCTGAATCATCTGGTCCACTGTTGTCCTCTCCGAAACCAGCAGGCTCTTGTACTTCGACTGTGGCACACGGCAAACATCAGCCATTGCATGATGAGGTATGGAGGAAGGTGTCATATGCTTTGATCCCTTCACGAATCTTGAAGGGGTTGTCCCATCTTTGTTGCATGTTTGAAAAACATATTCTAGTGAGATTTAAGGAACAGGTACGTCCAGTAATGGCACTGGGTAGTGCGACTGCAGCACCATTAAACATAATCAAGCCAACAGGTCATCCCAATCAGGCCAGGTCATCAGATGGTCCCATCAGTTCAGATCATCAAGTCTTCTCCATCAGGTCAGGTCACCAGGTCGTCCCATCAGTTCAAATAATCAGGTCCTCCCCATCAGGTCAGATCATCCGGTCGCCCTCATCATTTCAGGTCATCTGGTCGTCCTCATCAGGTCAGGTCATAAGATCGTTTCTAATGCTGCAGCGCCGGTGCGAGCTCACCTCAGCCAGGAGCACGCTGTCGAACACCTTTACAAGGCCGCCGGCACACGTGCGCAGCGTGAATCTGTAACACCAGCACCGCTGTGTGAATTCTGGGCAACATCCAGCATTGAACTTACGCCAGTGCATGGAAAGGAGCAAACTAAAAGTCCCGTTTGCCCTCACCCCTACCCCCACCCCCATCCCTCTGCCATCTCCACCGAGGTCGCTATCGTGCCGGGCCGAACAGAGCGTAAGGCGGGCCCTCGGCGCTCAACGCTCCACTCAGATCGAGCTGCACTATTGTGCCGGGCCGAACAGAGCGTAAGGCGGGCCCTCGGTGCTCAGTTCCACTCAGATCGAGCCGCACTATTGTGTCGGGCCGAACAGAGCGTAAGGCTCAGTCCTCGGTGCTCAGTTCCACTCAGATCGAGCCGCACTATTGTGCCGGGCCGGACAGTGCGTAAGGCGGGCCCTCGGTGCTCAGTTCCACTCAGATCGAGCCGCACTATTGTGCCGGGCCGGACAGAGTGTAAGGCGGACCCTCGGTGCTCAGTTCCACTCAGATCGAGCCGCACTATTGTGCCGGGCCGGACAGAGCGTAAGGCGGGCCCTCGGTGCTCAGTTCCACTCAGATCGAGCCACACTATTGTGTCGGGCCGGACAGAGCGTAAGGCGGACCCTCGGTGCTCAGTTCCACTCAGATCGAGCTGCACTATTGTGCCGGGCCGGACAGAGCGTAAGGCGGACCCTCGGCGCTCAACGCTCCACTCAGATCGAGCTCCACTCAGAGCGCTCAGGTCCACTCAGATCGAGCCGCACATACGCCGTTGCTTGTCGATGACTTGGGCCCCTTGCTGTAGCTGTTAGAAAGGCGAGTTCAGCACGGCATGTGTATTACTTCTGCGATCCGCTGCTGTACAACATGTCACGAGTGAGCTCGCGATTAGTGTTAACGGCATCCCGACTGCCGAGGTCATTCTGCATCCAGGGCCACGAGTGATGTGGAGTGGTGGACGACGCAGCGGCCACGAGTGATGTGGAGTGGTGGACGGCGCAGCGGCCACGAGTGATGTGGAGTGGTGGACGACGCAGCGGCCACGAGTGATGTGGAGTGGTGGACGACGCAGCGGCCACGAGTGATGTGGAGTGGTGGACGACGCAGCGGCCACGAGTGATGTGGAGTGGTGGACGGCGCAGCGGCCACGAGTGATGTGGAGTGGTGGACGACGCAGCGGCCACTAGTGATGTGGAGTGGTGGACGAGGTAGCGGTGCGGCCCACTCTGCAGCAGCGCTGCAGCCACGCAGCCATCGCAGGATGCGGGATGACAACAGGATGTGTGGGACCGGTCGGAGACGAAAAAGCAGTACCAGTGCCTGGCTTGGGCATTGACACGAAGTCATCAGAAAGCAACAAGATGGTGGTACCCTCTAGATGCCAATTTACCCCTTTAGTCCTGATTTGTCGCCTCCCCCCAGCTCGGACATGGTGCATTCATGGTAATAACGACATACATATTTGAAAGAGCCACGCACGCTTCATTGTGTCCCAGCTGTGATAACGGTTGGGACATAGCACCACGCCGCTTGGTGTTGACTTTAAAAGCTTTACTTAAGGCGTTGCAGCCACTCGGTGCTTACCTGGAGTCGGCACGCGGGTAGCAGGCCTGCAGCTGGGCTGGACATGAGTCGTCATCCAGCACCAGGATCGTCCGCACAGAAGCCCCTGTCAATAACGCAGCCGCTGAGTCCCCGCTGTCGTGATTGGGGCATGCTCCATTTCCCGGTGTCCGTGGTAGTTGGCGGTATGAACTGTACAAAGCGCTATAATCATTTTACCGGGGAGCAGGCAGGTCACACCCTCGGTTACATGATTACGGCCGAAGTAGTCCGGTACCGCACAGCCAAGAACTGACAAACTGTTCGCCATTCTTTGCCGCTCTGACCTCCTCTTCGACCTCATATGACCTGCGCCGTTGTCTTTCACTGACAGCAGTGATTCGGGGCACCTTTGGCCATGTGTGAGGTAGCTAACTGGCGGTGGTACCACACCACCGGATGGTTCTCCCACCTCACACCTCCGGAGCCAAAGCGTGAGCACGGCGGGAGAGGCAGCAGGGCCAGCACCAATTCAGGATCGCAATAATAAGAAGAACAGTAGAGGTAGAGGAGCGAGCGTATTAACCCTATTCGGGTCCAAGCAGAATTGCACTTAAGGTGTGTTTGGTGCACCACTTTAAGCAGCGCTCGTCCGGTCCTGAAGAGCACACAAAACAGTGCTGCCACCAGGGAGATTACAGAAAAGTCATCTACCTGTTCTCTAATCTATTCTTAATACACCACTCATCAGAGAGAATCGCAAAATTGCACCACAAATTGTGCGATATATGAATCGTACCGAACCGTCAAATGTGCCTGAAGTTCAATATCGCCTCCTGTTTATTTCGGTCATTCGCGAGCAAGCCAACTTGAAGTAGTCCAGCAGTACAAGCAGTTTTGAGATCGCATGCTAACATTGTTCAAATATAAAAACGATATGACTTCTAGCTTTACTTCAAAGTCAACCTGAAGCTACGATCTGCTCTGACTTCCCTTATCTTGATTTGCTCATCGTCGCTCGTGTGATGACAGGAAGTGATGTCAAATCGAACCGCATCCAGGGAAATAAATCAAGCTGCTTAGTTCTACCCCAGACATTCCTGTGGCTGCGTCCGTCTCCAGTCGTTCGTGACAGGGTCCCACATCAGTCTGAGCTAGCCATTTCTTGTCACTTATGTGTGTAATCATTGTCTTGGCCTTAATTAGTACCTGTCTGCGCGGGGATGAAAAATAACGCTTAAGCCTGAGAGTCAAGTTGTGTAGAGATGTTCTCTGGCTATTGGCAGGCCAGGTCGATGAAAGCTTTCCACTTTCGTGACTACACCTTCGTCAGATGTTACTCCAAAAACTGCTGTTGGTACATTCGCCAGGCATCCTATTACTACCAGGTTATTTCTGTTCTTAATATCGTTTCAGAAGTTGTTCACGAACTCACATTGCAAAAGAAAACACGACATCGGTGACGATGCTATGCCATAGGTACGCCATACTGCGCTTCCAGAGTGATTACACTGCGATCGTGAGGGATCCACAGTCCCCGGTCTGCTCGCGTTCTAAACGCCGCAGGAGGCCCTCGCATGCCAAAATGCGAGGCCCGGCCCGTGTGCTGAAGCCCCTGCGGCCGGTGTGCCGCATGGCTCGCAGCTCGAAGCCACGTAGGCCCCCGGTGCCTGATCCGCTCCGTGTGGCGACAGAGGGTGTCGGGACTGACCGCAGCACACACCCGGCCCAGGCGTCGGTGACCGGCTTCGTGGTGTCGTGAAGACCCACACAGAGAGGCCGGCTGGCTGCAGCGGTGGCGACGCTGTGGGGCCTCTGGTTGTGTCCGGACCACATGACAAGGACGCAGACGCGCAGTCTTGTAAGGGCAAGAGACGTTCGGAAAAGGGGGCTTCGTCTGGCAGCGAGGTGGTTCAGACTTTGAAAAGTGAGGATGCATGTGCTCTGTTTGCATGGTCTTTCGCTTAATTTGTTACACCAAGCAAGGAAGTGATAGGAAACAGTGAGTGGACATCGAACGTAAGTGTCGAGGATGCGTGTAAAACACATCTGAAAAACCTGCCACATAGATATGCATTGCACACCATAACAGGGTTTCTGCCATCTTTGTGTCGGTGAGATCGGGTCGAACATGAAAGCTTCCTAAACGCGGCGCTCTTATAATGCGTCAGCGTTTGTCTGGCGCCCCATAGTGACACATCGGGCCGATTTCGTGTGTCGCATGCGGTGGGTGGGAAAGCCGGCAGCTGTATTGACAGGCCCTGCAACGCCAGAACTGATACACCGGCACACGAACATCGGACCAGATAACAGATGTCGCAGCCCAACCCAAGAGCAGACCCGATGCCCCGGAAGGCCTCACTTCCGGCGCCAGCTGACAGCGCCAGGTCAGCTGAGGAGCCGGACGAGCCGACGCTCTTGTGGCGACCTCGACTGACCTGTGCTCCTGGTGGCCACCTCCATGGTGAGGAAGAACAGGTTAGGGTCGCGGTGCTTCATGCGGTACTTGTTGAGCAGCTGGTCCACCACGTCCCGGCACGTGGTCGTGTACTTGACACACATGGTCTTGTACTCGAGATCAGGCCGTAGGCAGCGCGTGTACACCTTTACCGTCGTCTTAAAACAGAAACAACATGTTATGCTTTAAACAACTAAGCCGCCTTGTGCAGTGTAACACATACCAGCCGATATTGGACGCGACAAAAACCATTCGTGATGCAGATGATTTAGCAACTGTGTAGATCAAAGCTAATGGCTTTGGTAGCCCACCCAATGCGTTTGCCTATGTTTTGAGAAGTCAGTCCTTATGGGAATTTATTCAACAAGCCTGGACCATTTATGTCGCATTGGTACGCTGATTCCCAATGGCACTGCTTGACAGTTCGCGGTCTGAGTTTGGCCAGATCTGATTCTTTAATCGACAAGGTTGATGAATCTACATTGATATGGGTTTGGAAATGGTAAGTAAATTTTTGCAAAGCATGCAAGTGTTTCCGTTGAATCTCAGTTACAGTGAGCGAAAAGATACTGCTGAGCAGTTTTCATAGCTTCATATATCCTTCTGTTTAGGCCATAGAGCGTTGAACTCGCGATCCGGCTCGGGAAATATAGCACCTCCAGGTTGATTACTGGCACAGCCACCGCTCGTCCAGCGCCGAGACGATTACTGGCACAGCCACCGCTCGTCCAGCGCCGAGACGATTACTGGCACAGCCACCGCTCGGGCAGCGCCGAGGCGATTACTGGCACAGCCACCGCTCGGGCAGCGCCGAGACGATTACTGGCACAGCCACCGCTCGTCCAGCGCCGAGACTCGCTTGTGATTTGTAGCTGGCACATTCACTAACGCCATGCAGTTGGCTTCATATCTATCTGCTCTGGTTATTGGCAGATAACATAAATACTTTAAAACGTCCAAAACGAGCAGGTCCATGGCTTACACCACGGAACGTGGTACCATCTGTTGACATCGACCCGCGTTCCTAGACAAGACCAGACTAGGACAAGATAGTAACACACATGTCAACAGAGGCATACGTCAACACAGAATGCGCACTAAGATTTTGAAACAGGAGCACTCCGGTCCAGACTGCTCGAATGACTCCCACAATGGAGCCGATAAATGAAGCGCTGTTGAGGCGTTACGAGTGCTGTGAATGACAATGTTTCCCCTACCCAAACAGTTTACTGGAGCCACCCTAAATGGCGCTCAAGAACACATCATGGAGCAATGCTCAGATTACTCCAGTGCGCCATCCCTGGTTTACGAGCACGGCTTTCTCACGGTGCCCTGCTCCCACGGTGCCGCCTTTCAATCGCCGGATCTACCCCACGCGGCCTCCCCTCCCAGGCCTCGTACCCCTTCCCCGGCTCAGGCTAGCGCGGCTCATGACGTACACACGCGACGAGAGGGGTAACCCAAAACCGCACGCCCGCACCCCGTGGTAAAAATCCTGCCCCAGCCTGCCGCTTTGCCCCGGTAAAAGTCGCCTGTGCGCGCAAAACACATGGTCTCCGGTCAGGAGAGCGATCGCCGCCCCGCCCCTCCCCTGCCCACCGCCGTCATTACCCACCCGGCCCCGGAGACGGACGCCAGTCTAGACGCCGACTACAGTAAGGTGAGCACCAAACAACGGCAGGCCATCAGTCGGCCGGACGACCGGCACGTCACGCCTCGGACCGCGCCCTCTTCACAGCCGGGCCCAACACCGGCGGGGTGAGGGCGTGCCCAGTAGGTCCGGGCCGCGGAGTGGGCGCTCCAGACCCGCTACAGCGGGAGGTGCCGCTCCCGCCCTCCTGCGGCCTGTTGACATTGCTCTCTTTAGCGTCACGAGTGGTTATGCCGACTTCCACGACGAGCGGCGCGGCTCGCGCGAACGGCTGACACCGGGAGACCGCCTGCGACCACCCAGCGCCGGCCGGCCTGCGCGTCGCCGCCCCAGGTGCGCCAGGTACGCCCCCTGGCGCCATCCGAGCCGGGCAGGCGCCGGGTCGCTGCTCTGCGTCTGACGCCGTTCCCCTGGCCACCGCCACCCACGTGTAGTGGCGACGCCCCCCCCCCCCCCCCCACCTCAGGCCGGTGCGGCACCGGACCGCCACGCTGAGCGTCAGCCAGCACGGCAGTTTATTCCCGAACCATTGTTAGCAGAGGTCTGAATGTCGCGGCTCAGGTGACAAAGACGGCGCACCTTTCTCAGACGCGGACACAGAAACGCATTGAGTGGCGTCGGTTGTCAAGGAGTGCGGGCAGGCTTTCTTGTGAAGTTCGGCGTGATCAATAGTGACCGGACTACAATCCCCGGCTCTGGACCCCGGTCACGTTAGAAGCAGTTCACACTGGCCGCTGAATGGCCTGGTGATCGCGTCACTGACTCCTCTGTGGACGCGGGGCGCCACAAAATAATGGGCAGAAACAGAACCGAACCCAGCGCAGAAGAGAAATGATGAAACACTTCTTTTTGTTCACTGGCGAAGTCACCTCTGTATCCTAGAAGTAAGAATCCGCCAATGCATGGGTTTTTCTGCGCAATTTATTACAGATATTAGACCATTTTCCACTGTTACAGAAACGCCATGTGAACTTTGGCTGATGAGATAATGACCACGCAGTTGGCAGCACACGCTCACAGAGAATGAGTCAGACGCAACAGGCTATGGCAGAAAGACTAATTTAAGGGAATTTGGTCACAGGCATTACCAGACAGCTGGCCTGCCGACGACGTCAACTTATGGATGACCCTGGCCACCTCCAAATTATGTAAGCAAGCATGCAACAGAAGCACCTGGACATCGCATTAGCCCGGCTCTGTTTGACATATGAGCTGTAGTGCAGGTGAAATAAATTTGTCTAAACATAGCTGATGGGGGTAATAATTCTGGTCAGTCGGCAGCAGAAAGGGAGACGGCTGTGTTCGAGAAGCTAGCGTTAATATTCACTTTATTTGTCTCCTCGTCTTCTGCAGCACACGATCTGGCCCCGACCTCAGCTTTAACGTGCGCGTGGCCATTAAAGCGATTGTCCCACCTTTGGGGCCGATTTAAAAAACATACTCTTGAAAACTAGTGACCAGTTACGGCTATTAATAGACCTGGGCAGTGCCACTGCACCACCATCGAAAGTATAACAAGTAGATAAGTTTTAATTAGTCCCGAGCTCAAGTCACCCCCGTCAACGTCGCTGTCAAAGCAGTACATTTATTGTATTTTGGTAGTTCCAGAGTGCAGCCCTAGCCTTCGATAACCGCAGTTGATGAGACTACCATCACCATGACGACGGCAGAATAAGCTGAGTGCAATCGTTAGCTGTACCTCTTTTGAGTTGTTTTAACCACAACCTTGCGAGCCTGCGGGCTTCAAAATGACGCCTCTACTGGTATCAATGACGTCAGTACAAATAAAGGTTTGTGATTGGCACAGCGGGCGGCGAAGGCCATTTGCCGAGAAGCGCATTGGTGGAAGTTTTAACCAGCGCGTCACTATCGACCATATCATACATCTGCTTCTCAAAACCAAAGTGTGTTTCAAAAAGATCCACTGCCCTTAACGTTACAGGGAGAGAAATAAAACCCATACTGCAACGTTTCAGTGAATTGGCGGGATACCAGCCTTACGTTTGCAAACTTCGTTCCCTCAACAGATTATTTTCGTAGTTTTCGTAGCATTTTCTACACAAACATTTTCACGAATAAGTGTATTGCAAACATTACACAACGCACACGTTGGAGAAATCAATGCAAATGAAAAGTCTTGCTTTTATAATTGAACAAGGAATCGAACGTGATTTCTCCCGCCGGAGCGGCTACCTCCAACGGAAATCCTGGGCTATTCAGAAGGTTTTCGGGAAAGCTAGCATTGCGGATTATATCGGACGCGTTTTATCTAACAATAAGTAAAAAACACAGAAAGGGTGGCGTCCTCCCTTCAAACCAGTACTCACTGGATTCGTCACTGGTCTGGTCTGGGTCTGCTCAGGATCTGATCTGGGTTTTGCCTGTGCCTGGTCTGGATATAGTTTGAGTGTGACCTGGGTTTGGCTTAGGTCTGGTCTGGGTTTAGTCTAGGCTCAATCTGAGCTTGATCTGGGTTTGGTCTGGGTGTGGTTTGAGTCTGCTTTTGGTTTGGCCTAGATGTCCCGTCTTACCGTAGGCGTGGCCGATACACTGGTGCTGCCCGTGCCGCTCTGGGTCTGGTCTGGTCTGGGTCTGGGTCTGGGTCTGGGTCTGGGTCTGGGTCTGGGTCTGGGTCTGGTCTGAGTCTGGTCTGGGTCTGCTCTAGGTCTGGTCTGAGTCTGTTCGGGATCTGTTATAGATCTAATCTAGTCTGGTTCCGGATTTGGGTCTGGTCTGGATCTGCTATGGGTCTAAATCTAGTCTAGGTCTGGTTCGGTCCAGTTCTCCATCTTCCCGTGGGCGTGGCCGATACGCTGGTGCTGCCCGTGCTGCTCTGGGTCAGATCTGGGTCTGGTCCCGGTTTAGTCATCCGTCTTACCGTGGGCGTGGCCGGTACGCTGGTGCTGCCCGTGCTGCTCTGTGTCTCGTTCAGCGATGTGTAGGAGGAGGAGCGAGACGACAGAGCAGGCTCGTGCAGTGAGCTGAAGCTCATGGTGGAGTTGATGCTCAGAGTGTCCGCCTTCTGGCCAGACCGCATCAGCGAAGACCGCAGCGGGTTAATCTGCACGTGCTTCAGCATTGTCCTGTAACAACAGTGCTGCTCGCTTTCGATATCACGAGACAAAACCACACCTTAAGATATCAGAAGTCATGGTCTGGGTACTTAAGTTGGGTGTGTCACCGCTTTTAACCCAATACGATTACCATTGTATTAACAGAAACCAGTGTTCTCTGCCCGTCCAAAGGTCCATTTCCCTGTTGCCAGATGAGTGCTGAATAATGTGTCAATTGCGTGTTTATTTGCGGGCTTGAACGCCTCCCCACTGTTTCAAAACGACTCCACAGCGGCATGGAGATGGGTCATGACACGGTGCCCATCACTTCTGATGCTAACTGGCCTTAATGATCCGGACACGCGCCGGAGCGTTACGGCAGCCTCTCAAGGGCGGCACAGGTGAGATGCACGGGGCTCGGGCTGCGTCGATGGTACGGCCGGCCGACAGCTCTGACAATGAAGCCGCATGGTGGCCACCTCCAAAAACCGGGCTTGGCGTCATGCAAACGTTATCATTTACGATGTTTTCCACCTGTAAGATTACCCCAACGCGAACAGGCCGAGCAGTTACAGGTCATTGTGCGCGGTGTTGTCTTGAAAACAATGGTGACTGGAATGGCCAGTTGTCAGGTAGTGCCCACGCCAACCCTGGCCTAGATATGCAGTCCGTCTTACTGGCGTAGCGTAGCAATATCTTTGTTTCCTTGGACAAGTCTCACGCGTTTCCCATTCATCGCCGGGATCGGCGCCTGGGCGTGTTTCGCCAGCCGGCTGATGCAAGGCGGCGAACAATGACCGGATATCGACACTGCATCTGCTTTCACCAGTGGATATTTCGTCGACCTGTTGTTTCCTTGCAGAGGCAAAGCGAGCTTGAATGGCTGTCTTGATCTCTCAGTGCGCGGGCTCGTGTCTCACTCACTACGCTTGCACAATCGAACAACGCACGCCACTCGTTCGCTCACCTCGATCGCGGGCCGACCTGCCGCCGCGGTGCCCCGGCCGCTCGGAGTCCGAACCCTCAGCACGGACACCGGCGGTCCATGGCGTGAGGTGTGGCTTCAGCTCCCGTGCTGCCGTGCCGTGCCCACTCACACTCCCGACCGGCAACGAGGCCGACTAACACCCGGCCTGACGTGCCGCCGGGCTGAAGTAACCGGGTGCGCCGCGTGACGTCACAGTGGCACGGACCAATACCGGGCCGTGGTGAGACGGCAGGTGGATTAAATGGTCATTTTCGGAGGCGACGGCGACCGAGCTGTTAGAGCAACGGGCCGGTCACGCGTGGGAGTGCGTGGCGTGGTCGGGAAACGATGGATGATATCGAATTAGGATTATCCTGCGTCACCCCGCAGCCTCCATTTAGGGACAGTTTCAGGTACCGCTCTATCGGCTTGTTCGTCCGAACGATTTCGCATTTATACGAGCACGTAGCCAAGCAGAGAAGAGGGTGATGTACATTGAGCCTTTTATATGATGCATGTGAACATGCACTGCATTCAGCGCGGGGTTCAAGCCTGTTGCTTACGATAGCAGAAGACCAGGACGCTCAGATTGTCACAAACAGATCATGTAGATCAAATGATACGGAATTAGCAGAAATAAGTAAATACTTCTAGATCAGAAGCTGGAGGTTGTTGGTTCCAGGGCAACACCCCCACAGACATAGACTGATGCGCAGCTTATTTTTTTTAACTACACACCTTTCTAAAATACTGCTGTCCTCTCTGGGGACAGAGGTGTTCGGGCTGGTCTGCTGTCTTCTCTCAGGGTGCTCGGGCTGGTCCGCCGGCCAGCGTGATCAGTTCTCGGTGTCTCTGCGCCTCCACCTGTACCCTCGTGGCTCGGAGGGGGGGAGGGGGGGGGAACGCACGGTGCCCGGCGACGGCGGGCCCAGATGCCCCCACCGGCTGTGGCTGGTGGCGGCAGAGCTGGCGGCCGCGGCGTATGGTCTGCACAGTTGGGAGCCATCACCGCATCTGAATGGACACAGGAATGCTCTACCCAGGGCTGCTGTTTGCCCGGCGACCACGGCTCTCCGCGTTGTTGATATGGCGACAGGCATCACTACCGCAAGAGCGCTATGGATGATAAGTGATGTTTGCGCCCGGCTCATTATGTTTGGAGCAAAGCTATTAACCCTGGCCATTTTTGAGGATAACAAGCTTGCATGAACTGTGGGATCGCATGCATTTGACGTGTTCTTAGGCCCATGAGAAGGATTTGGAGCGGCCAACTGTGAGGATTTTGAGTACACATCGACATTGACTGCATCATCTAAGAAAAAAGGAAGGAAGAATGAAAGGAGGGAATGATGCGGTCAGCATCGCACATCCAACGATATTTCATAGGGACTTCATGCTTGGAAGTTACAATGTTCGACTGAAGCTTGCTCCAGACTTCCCATCCTCTGAATCCCTCAGCAGCTGAGCAGAGCATACGCCACACAGTCGTGCTTTCACTGCAGGACCCTGGGATTCCAAGGGTATTCCATCTGTATAAAGTGAATCATCGTAGCTGAGTGAAGTCGCAGGGATCGCTGAGAGCTCGACTGACGGCGGCACGGATCGCTGAGAGCTCGACTGACGGGGCGGCACAGTGTGAGCCAGCGCAGACGAGGTGTCGACGCGGGCCCCCGACGACAGCAGGAAACGGCCGCTGGATTAATGATACACGAACGCAGCCGTGTCTGCCAGTCACGCCCCCTCGACGCGGGTCGACGCTCCGCGGCCTACCCCCGGACCGCTCCAGCCCCAGACAGCCCGCCAGGGTTCTCCCGGACCGCTCCAGCCCCAGACAGCTCGCCAGGGTTCCCCCGGACCGCTCCAGCCCCAGACAGCTCGCCAGGGTTCCCCCGGACCGCTCCAGCCCCAGACAGCTCGCCAGGGTTACCCCGGACCGCTCCAGCCCCAGACAGCCCGCCAGGGTTCCCCCGGACCGTTCCAGCCCCAGACAGCTCGCCAGAGGTCCCCGGACCGCTCCAGCCCTAGACAGCCTTCCAGGGGTACGGACCGGACTGCTCCAACCCCAGACAGCTCGGCAGGATTCCCCCGGACCGCTCCAGCCCCAGATAGCTCGCCAGAGGTCCCCAGACCGCTCCAGCCCTAGACAGCCTTCCAGGGGTACGGACCGGACCGCTCCAGCCCCAGACAGCTCGTCAGAGGTCCCCGAACCGCTCCAGCCCTAGACAGCACGCCAGAGTTCCCTGGACCGCTCCAGCCCCAGACAGCTCGCCAGAGGTCCCTGGACCGCGCCAGCCCTAGGCAGCTTTTCAATGGTAGGGATTGGACCGCTCCAGCACCAGACAGCTAGTCTGAGGTCCCTCGCGGACCGCTCCAGCGTCAGACAGCTGGCAAGCGAATTTTGCGTTTATTTCTATGTCTCTGTATACAAATCTCCAGATAGGGATCCATAAATTTCTTCGTCGAATACCACAAACGGCCTGCAGTCGGTCCGCACGAGTGCAAGGACTGTGAAGGCTGCGATTTTTCCAGTCCGAGTCGTCCAACGGAAGTGCCAGCAGCATCGCCCGTGGTCCTGGTTCGAAACGTATGAGCCGGTACGGACACAGAAGCCACGTTCTCTACTCTGAGCGGCCCAGTCGTATCCCGTGTCCGAGTCAGCTACAGTTGCTGCGTTGGCGGTCGGAGTCCCGCTGTTCGACTTCCACGGCGTCGTCAAAGACCACCATCACACCCATCGCGCCGTTTTTGTACCGATCCCGCGGTGAGACCGAGCTGGGCGGCGTTACTCACGGTGGCCGGAGCGGAGCGGAACACCTGACGCCCGTCTGCGCCACGTGGAGGGTGGCAGCCCCACATGACCGGCTCCCACACGGCTTCATTACCGCCGCACAAGAGCGGGGGCGGCCAGCGACACGGCCATCTGGGCAGCTTGAGCTCCAGCTCGGGTGGGTAGGTGGCCAGTGGCTCGGGTGGTCGGGTGGCGGTGGCCGTCTCAAATGACGTCATCACAGAACTTACTGTGGTCTTGATAACACCCAGCCATCTATCTGAGCTACCATAAACCGGTGGTTTACACCATATTATAGTAAACACAAAGAAAAGTACATCCCTTTAACCTGATTACGCATCGCACAAGCTCGAGCTACGTGACGTTGGTTACGCTTGAATTTCGCGTTAACAACCCTGTCAAAGCTATAACCATCACTGCCCAACTTAACACATGATGACGACCATCTGTGTGCTGGGAATTCGCCACTCACTGGAAATGTTTGAGAGACGGCAGCAGTTATTATCCTCATATACTCACGGCCGTGTTTTGGCTCTGTTTTCAAAATAGAGTTGATTGAACTGTTTGAAACCCTGGGGACGGAAAAACTGTCGCATTACCATTAGTTGGATACAGTATCAGTGGTGGGTATTTCAAGCATTTGTGCGATTAACTATCAAAGCAGTTTTTCCACCGCGTCTACTGGACAAGGAATGTTAATCCCGAGCGGATAAAACAAAACAACTTTTCTAGGAAATTTCTGATTGCAGTGTTACTCATTGCCATCAAAGGAACACAAGAACCATATGGCATAGTTCCGTAAAATTATCCGTTTCAAAGCTCTTTATATTTAAAGATCAAGGGCTTGAAGACAGATTTTAAAAACATAGCTTTGAAACATATGCACCTACGTTAGATAGGTATGTGTACGGTTAGTCTTCGGTCCGAACGGTGTCACCCTCCCTCTGAGCCCAAATCCTCCCCCCCCCCCCCCGCCCGCCCCTCAACAGCAGCTTTTCGTGCTAGTCGCGGGAATCGCTCGTGATGTCCGCGAACAAAGAAAAGGTCACAGGTAAACACGGTCAGCTGGAGGGAACAATAAAGCAGGGTTCTGCACCCATTCTACCCGCAGCACGCGGAAATGGGACCGTTTTCCAGCGCCTGTTTTTCTGGTAAATCGTGCGCACGTGCTGGAGGTGACGCGATTTCCGGCGCACTGTGGCCGCCGGCGACGCAGGGTGTCGCGCCCTGGCCAAAAAGTGTCGATTGGAGCCAATTTCAGTCAAGAGGGAAGCCTTAATCGCGGCCATTTTCCCCGCACTCGACGCATGCTCGCAGAACAAAGGAACGGCGTACACAGTCCGCACGATTTGTGACCAACAGGTATCGCAGATGTCTAGAATGTGACTACGAACCGCTGAGTAGCAGCAATTGTCTTCCTAGCCGGTAAAAGCCTTTTCGTTTGGCTTATCTGTATAATCAGCTTGGGAATGCACCAAAGAGCAAGAATTCATCTTGCATCCTATATTATCATTCTCCGATTTACCGTGTATGCTCGTCTCGTAATTTGTCCCATCTCGAGTTCTTTTTCCCTCCGTTTTGCTCCAGTTCCTCGAGCGTCGGTATCCTACTTCATGCAAGGGTGCACACCCTCCTCTTACCGCATCTGAACAGCGCACAGGCCGTGGTGCCGTCTGGTGCACATGTTTCGGTGGCAGGCGGCCGGTCAGTGCGCTCCCGTCCCAAACCCACGTCCCGCCATCGGCCAAAGTCTCGGTAGCAGGCGGCCGGTCAGCACGCTCCCGTGCCATGCCGGCACCGTTCCAGTGACCTTTCTCACGTGGTCTCCGGCCTTCAGGCCAGTGGAGCCCGCAGTGACCTCCGAAAGCTCACCAGGTCGCTGCAGGTCACCGCCGGTGTTCAGGGGCCCCACAGAACTGCGGCCGACCGTCTGGCACGCCTAACAGTCTGGCTGACTACACGCGAGGCTAGGTGGTGAACACGAGCTGGAATGAAACCGCAGTCCAGCGGGCTGACCACGTGACCCCTCAGACAACCGCGGAAGCCTGCGGGACCACCCGTGACCACGTAGCCACGGAACAAGGCCAAGCGGAAGGCGGTTGGGCTTCTGGGCTGAACTAACCCGGGTACAAAAATAGAGAGTCATCGGTCTGCGCCCCGACCGAAAAACAGCATATTTATGAAGGGTCCTCCCAGTACACTTATCAAGACTATGATTAAGATATGGTGATGTCACAGATGTTTGAAGTCGTAAAGCCGCTTCATTTGTGGCCCCGCCCATGTGTGCTGCGTATTC